GGGTTGCAAATAATTTTGAAATTATGAGGAAAATTCTGTAGGTGGATATAATCAATCTAATTTCTTAATGTTTCTTTGTAACTTTGCAAATGTTTTGTTGATCTTTTAATGTCTTAATGTTTTTTATTTGTAAGGCACGTACCTATTGCATTGACAAGAGTCTCAATGTCTTCATAATAATATGTGTTCTTTCTAGTTCAAATGCATGATACGGTTTGATTAAATTGTATTAACTGAAAAGATAATTTTTTCTACAAGTTGGTAAAAAAAAACCCACGTATAGTACAGATCTTTAAAATAGTAATGGAAGTTGAAGATCGGAAGAAGTACTAATGTTAAATTGGTGTGGGTGGGGGTTGGAGGCAATTGTGAGAAAAGTGTAATTTGGGTTTTTTAAAAGGAAGAGGCTAGGCCTCGCACTACCCACATTGACTGATACAGGTGGGCCTAGCGATAGCATCGTCCGGCTCGCGATTGTCGGATTTCAGATGATTGTCGGCAAACATGCAGGTCTAATAGTGAAAGTGCATATATATATTTTAAACCTTCTGTTTTCTAATGTTAATAGGGCCTAAGACTTAAGATAAGTACGGGTAGACAGCCAGGCTAGCCGTACTTAAGGACGGCTAGACTGTCAGGCTAGCCGTACTTAATATTGATGGCTGAATTGTAAATGAAATTTTCAGTTTGCAATGCCTAAAGTATTTGTATTTCAGACAAACCAAAAGGTGCCTTACTGACTTGCATGTATTTAAACCTGAATAATTACTAGATCTAATGAGACATGTGTACTTAACAGGCTTGAGTCGACAGGGCCAAACCTAGATCTAAGTACAGCTAGACTCTCAGTACTTAAGTACGGCTAGCCACTTCGTTTATTGAACAGCCCCATAGCCTGCCATAGGTTTTCCATAATTTCCTCATCATCACCACCACTCTATTCTCTTCTTCATCTTCCTTCTCCCTTCCTCCACCACCACCTCTTCCTTCTTCTCCCCACCATCATCATTCACCCTCTCTTTTTTATCATCACCGCTTTAACTTGAACACACTTTCACCCCGGGTGAGAATAGTGCAGGCGAGTCTTTTGGCTATTCTCACCCGGTGCGCGTTCACCGTTATAGCCTTGATCTAGGCCAACCAATTTTGCGTTCACCCTAAACCAAAGAATTCTACACTGTGATAACAGAAAAATTGTAGAATTCTGTGCCGTGAACAAACGTTCCATTACTACTGTTAGCCTACTTAAAGTGTACAATTTTGTCTGTGGGCAGTGGAGAGAGAGAGAGAGAAAGAGAGAGAGAGAGGAGTAGCGCGAGAACTTCCGGGCAAAACAAAATGGCGACCCGCGTAGTTCTGCTCGATTCGAAAAGTTAAATAGCCGTAGCATCATTGTAGACGACCAAATTAATTTACTTTTGTGTTTTAACATAATTTTTAAACTTTGTTTTGGTCAATTTGATTGTCCACACCGATAGACAGTATTCAGAAAGAGATAGAGAGAGAGAAGAGGGGAGGAGTAGATCTTGCGAGAACTTCCGGGCAAAACAAAATGGCGACCCCCGTAGTTCGGCTCGATTCGAAAAGTGAAATAGCCATAGCATCTTTGTAGTCGATAAAATTAGCTTACTTTTGTGCTATAACTTAATCTTTTTTGCCTTTATCCATTTGATCATCCACATCGATAGAAAGTATTCCGAAATTAGGAAAAACAGGTCTTGTTTCACACTGGGTGAGAATAGTGAATAGCCTACGGTGGCAAGTCTCACCCGGGGTGAGAGGTCGATCGTGTTACTATTCTCACCCCGGGTGAGAATAACAATTGCAAGACGGAAAGCTATGTTTAGCCTTTTTAATTTTAGCCTTGCCCTTATACTTATAGGGGCGCTTTTTCGGTAGTTCCCACCCCGCAATTGTTATTCACGGGTTTTGGCCCCAAGAGTAGGGGGGTTTCAGGGGGGCTTGCCCCCCTGACCTAACAAAAATGGGAAGGGGGATTTCAGGGGGGCATGCCCCCCTGAATTTTACCACAATTTAATGTTTTGCTGTTGTTATGTTTGATATCTTAGCTCACCGCGAATCAAACGTATAGATCTAGATCTAGAAGTAGGTCAGGCTCAAATAAGGGGGGTGGGAACTACCGAAAAAGCACCCTTATGCCGTATACTTATAGGTTAGGGCTAGATCTAGAGCCTATGTACGACAAGATCCCGTCT